TTATTCTAAAATTTATTGATGTTTCAAAAATAAGTTAAAACTTAACTTTAATAAAGTCTTGTAAATGCGTTTATAATGCGTCAAGATGCTCCAAAAAATGTCACTAATATTCTCAGCTTTCAGAATACCTTTGTTTAGACACAAAATAAAAATGAAATACTCCTTTAAATTTCTGCAATAGTTTTAGCGACTTAAAATGTCAATATTTCAGGGGAAAAAACATCTCACGACAAAATAAATGAAATCTATTAACAAAATGGATGAAATTTAGATAGAAATAAATTTACCTAAAAATGCACATAGTAATAATTGTTGATATTTAGAGCTATATCAATCATATAATGAACTTGACATTATTAACTTCATTAAACGACAAAGAATAAAATGGGCAGGCCACGTTATCAGAATAGACGAAGACCGTACCACAAAAAGAGTTCTCAATGCCAGACCAGTTGGGACACGAGAAAGAGGCAGGCCGAATTTGAGATGGATGGATGGCCTGGAGAGAGACATTTTGGTCTTAAAAACAAAAAATTGGAGAACACTAGCAAAAAAGAGATTAGCCTGGAAAAAACTTCTTGAGAAGGCCAAGGCCCACCCTGGGCTGTCGAGCCATTGATGATGCTGAATAATTGTTAAGAGAAAACTAATATTTGAATTTTTGTCTCGAGCATTTTCTGAAAATATATTTCGTTAACTTACTCCAAAAATAATCAAAATTATTTTTTCTACGTTTCTTTACATTACTAATGTATTACAAGGAACCTTTCCCAACAAGATCTTTTGTCCGGAAAACATTTCATTTCTCATTTTACCCACCTGATGTCAGTATCAGGATATTTTTAAGGTAATTGCAGATAGTTAGTTTATTTTAAACTAGTTGCAGCACTAATCAAATACGTAATACAAATACGAAAGCAAAAAAAATGGGCACTTATGAGACCGTTTTCTTGAAAATTAACCGATCGTTAGGGGGTTAAACGAATTATTTAAAAAAATTTTCATATACATATATATTAACGCTAATTTTTTAATAAGCTGCTAGAATTTTCTATTTTGTTTTCACTAGTCGACAAAGCAGGAATCTTTCTATACTTATCATAACTCTTTATTCTAAAATAAAAATTTATGATAAATTAAGTACTTCGATTTTTAATAAAAAAATTAACTCAAAATTAAACTCATAGTCAAATAGCTTTACTATATAGCAATACGTTAGGCTGGAAAGAAAGAAAAAGTTTTCGAACATTTAAAAGCAACTAATTTCAAAAAGTTGCATATCACTCGTGAATTATGTTCAGATTTTTTATGCATCATCTTTATTACCCGCAAAAGTCTTGAAATTTTTGAATAAACATTCAAATTTGTTAAATTATATAATTTTAAAATCCTGTGGCTTATAAAAATATACCTCAAAAGTTGTATATTGAATGAAATATCATGAGTGAAGTTTCCTATAATATTTCGATCTTATTTTAATTCACCACAATACTCTTGAATTTTGCAAATTTTGCTATCATTTTCCATATTAAAGTGATACGTTTAAGTTTATTATTCACAAAATTTTAAATGCAAAAATTCTGCTACTGTTGTAGGAAATGAAAATACTGTTGAAAAAGAATTCTCTTAAAAAATTTACAAGCAATATTTCATTTAACACACAATTTTTGAGAGAAGGTTATTTGCTTTTATTTCAAGAATTCTTAAAAATTTGCTAAATTTTTAAAATTCTGATATTGTTTGAAAAAAAAATCAAAATTCCAAGTCTAAGAATCAATTAAGATGGTACATTTTTTTCCGGTTATTGGCGGGCACTTGAGTCTATTTCCCATTGGCCTCAGAATTGCTACTCTCTTAGTGAGCACCTATGGCTAAGCCACAGCGGTGGAGTGGCGCCGTCCACGTCATACAACCACAAACCCATTTATAGGGCGAGTTACATTCACGCAACCACACAGAAGAAAGGACATAGAACACTCAGAGAGAGAGAAAGAAACATCCATGCCCTGAGCGGGATTCGAACCCGCAACCATCGGCTCCACAGTCAGGCACTCTAACCACTCCGCCACTTGGTCGGCTGAAAATGGTGCATTAAAACTCTGAAAAAGTTCGTTAGTGATATACTTTAATCCATATAAAACTTTTCGAAAGTAGTATTTTTCTTTTATCGAAACTTTTTTTCTTGCTCCACCCTACTCTACGTCAAATATGTTTGACGAAACGTTAAGTACTGAAAATATTTTAAGCAGTTCGGAGAAGTATAAGAGTTTGACAAAATGTTAAATGTTAGGGTCGTGACTTTTTAGNCAGTGAAATTTCTGGGCTGGGGTGTTCAGTAGTAACGCACCAATAAGAATAAAACTAATTCATTTCTTTTGTCCGGAAAACATTTCATTTCACATTTTACACACCTGGTGTCAGTATCAGGATATTTTTGAGGTAATTGTAGATAGTAAGTTTACTTTAAACTAGTTGCAGCACTAATCAAATACGTAATACAAATACGAAAGCAAAAAAATAGGCACTTATGAGACCGTTTTCTTGAAAATTAATCGATCGTTAGGGGGTTAAACGAATTATTAAAAAAAATTGCCATATACATATATATTAACGCTAATTTCTTAATAAGCTGCTAGAATTTTCTATTTTGTTTTCAGTAGTCGACAAAGCAGGAATCTTTCGATACTTATCATAATTCTTTATTCTAAAATAAAAATTTATGATAAATGAAGTACTTTGATTTTTAATAAAAAAATTAACTCAAAATTAAATCAATCTGTGAAAGTCAAATAGCTTTACTATATTGCAATACGTAGCAATAGACTGGAAAGAAGAAAAAAAAGTTTTCGAACATTTAAAGGCAACTAATTTCAAGAAGTTGTATATCACTCGTGAATTTTGTTCAGATTTTTTACGCATCAACTTTATTACTCGCAAAAGTTTTGAAATTTTTAAATAAGCATTCAAATTTGCTAAATTATTAAATTTTAAAATCTTGTGGCATAAAAAAATATTCCTCAAAAGTTTTATATTGAATGAAATATCATGAGTGAAGTTTCCTGGAATATTTCGATCTTATTTTAATTCACCACAATACTCTTGAATTTTACAAATTTTACCATCATTTTCCATATTAAAGCGATACGTTTAAGTTTATTATTCGCAGATTTTTAAATGTAAAAATTTTACTGCTGTTGCAGGAAATGAAAATATTGTTGAAAAAGAATTCTCTTAAAAAATTTACAAGCAATATTTCATTTAACACACGATTTTTGAGAGAAGGTTATTGGCCTTTATTTCAAGAATTTTTAAAAATTTGCTAAATTTTTAAAACTCTGATATTGTTTGAAAAAAAAATCAAAATTCCAAGTCTAAGAATCAATTAAGATGGTACATTTTTTTCCGGTTATTGGCGGGCATTTGAGTCTATTTCCCATTGGCCTCAGAATTGCTACTCTCTTAGTGAGCACCTATGGCTAAGCCACAGCGGTGGAGTGGCGCCGTCCACGTCATACAACCACAAACCCATTTATAGGGCGAGTTACATTCACGCAACCACACAGAAGAAAGGACATAGAACACTCAGAGAGAGAGAAAGAAACATCCATGCCCTGAGCGGGATTCGAACCCGCAACCATCGGCTCCACAGTCAGGCACTCTAACCACTCCGCCACTTGGTCGGCTGAAAATGGTGCATTAAAACTCTGAAAAAGTTCGTTAGTGATATACTTTAATCCATATAAAACTTTTCGAAAGTAGTATTTTTCTTTTATCGAAACTTTTTTTCTTGCTCCACCCTACTCTACGTCAAATATGTTTGACGAAACGTTAAGTACTGAAAATATTTTAAGCAGTTCGGAGAAGTATAAGAGTTTGACAAAATGTTAAATGTTAGGGTCGTGACTTTTTAGTAGGTTAAACGGGACTTTTTAAATAAGCTCGACCATAATATCTATAATGGTTTTGTAAATTTGATTACACGGTACTAATATATAGAGTTAAAAAATATCAATTTTTTGAAAACCGTTAAAGTGTACTTGCTTTTAGCTATAACATAAAAATTCCAAAGTAGCATTTTATTATAAAAAAAGTAAAAATTAAGTATTGTGCAATAATTTTATTGGATAAATTGCAATTGTAGTAGTAATTTAATTAAAAATGGTATAAAACATCAGTTGCAAATTTATACCTTTTACTAGAATTAAAGAAATTTTAAAGGTGACGCTAAAAAATGGAGATTGATATTTTGGACAAAGATTATTTAGAATTTTCACACTTAAATCTTTAATAATTGCTTGATTAAATTAATAGCTATCACCATAAGCACTTTTTCTAAAATTGTATTTACAATAAAAATGATGTAAAGTGTGTAATTTTATACTGAAATTATATAGTATATCAGAATAGAATTTAAATAAAAATATCTTACGGCATAACAGTTTTCTACAACAAATATACCCAACAGAAAAATTACGTAAATTATAACGACGAATTTAAAATCAAGCACAAATATTTTACAAACAGTAAATAACTATTTAAATACAGATATTATATAATTATAATACCGTTGACATGCCTCTTAACACGAATTTTGATTAATTTAATTCAACATTAATCTAGTTGAAAAAAGAAAAAGTTCGTACCAGTCATTCGGCATATGGAACTACATAATTGAAATGATTTTTTCTGCAGGGTAGCACATTTTAAGTATTAAAGATAAAAAAATATATAATCTGTTAAAGATCAACAAATATAAGGGAGAAATCTTTTAAAAAGTTCGTTTTAGAAGGACTCAATTAAAATGCAGTTTACATACATGGAAAGAAATTTCTTTTCGCTTTCAAAAACTGTCACTAATTTTGAAGTACGAAATTTCTTTCTGGACAAAAGAGATGTTAATGTATAAGTTTCATTAAATAATCCCTGATTAACATTTCTTTTCGATAAAAATGTGACTACAGAAAATATATTCACACAAAAAGGACATTAAGCAAACTTACCCAACGCCAACATTAATTAATCTTGTACCTCTTCAAAACAGTTTTCAGTTCCATCTTCTTTTAATAGGTAATCCTTAACCTTTACCTGTAATGGAAAAATTATTTATGAATACGCTATTCAGAATCATTTTTTAAAGAAAAAAATGTGTTCTAATTGTAGATACAAAAGAAAAAAGAATTATTATAGAAATATTCGAATTTCTAAAAATGTTAAAACCGCATAAAATTTATATATTTTTATACAAGAATTGATGTTAACATTTTTTCGCAATGTAAAAAGCTTATGCAAGGATGTATGATAGCAGGTTCTTGCCAAGAAATTGTAAGCAAATACCAACTTTAGATACAAATTGTTAACAAATTGTATAACAAATTGTTCATGTACCCATTTTTTTGTGTGCAATTGTGCTCAAAAAAAAGGAAGAAAAAAAGAAAAAAACTTCGAACTTTTGATCCGAAGATCAGATTTTCACGCACTAAGACTAAAACGTAGTGGCTCTATGGTGTGACCTCAAATATGCTAATTAATTTCTGCTGGCCATAATTCAAGTTCTGTATTCTGACACAAAGATGCACTTTTTCTGATTAAACATATTTTTTATTCCATGGATTTGGATTTCTTACCCTCATAATATAGAAGATTGCCGCAATCTTTAAAATACTGTCCCAATAGTTCAATAAGAAGAATTGGTGCAAGGGTTGGCAATACTAATTTTACATTTTGCGCCTTTCCCAATACCTCGAGAACTTTTCAAACAAATTTATACGCAATAATAAAATGTGTTTATTCAAAGATATCCTTCCAAAATAAAAGGTTTAGTGAATGATAACTATTTTTAATTGTTTTATTTAATAGTAGTCTGAAAAAGTTTGAATTGTAATGTATATAATTTCTTACATCATTTAATAAGAATAAAATTTTACAAGGCAACATCGGCCGCTAAGCTAAATCACATACTAAATGGAATCTTGATAGTTCTAGGGGGGGAGGGGTCATAATGCACCGATATCAGTAATAATTCTGAGTTTCAAAATCCGGCAGAAGGAGACTTAAAACTTTTTTAGGTATTCTTCTTTTTTAAATAGTACTTTTTTATGTATTCTGGTTTTTGGTACTTTAGAGCTAAGCTTGTGGAGAATGGCTACAATTTCGAATGTGCAATACCAATATTTAAGACAGAAAAATGGAGAAATTTTTAAATCCTTTGCTGTTACGTTTATTTTTTTGCTCGTTTTTCCCAGTTGAAAAAACTACCATCCGAAATAAAAAAAAATTGATGCAATCATAAAATTAATGCATGCAACGGAATTTTAAGAATTATTTATTGTTTCATTAAATAATCCTAAAAAATATATGAATTTTATATTAGAAAATGTTTGACATCTTTCTGAAATTTATAGTTTTTAATATGAAAATCAAAATTCAGAGCAAATTAGGCAAGGTAGTTTTCAACAAATGGAATTACAAAAATATTCTTTTTAATTAATAAATTTTCGAGGGCTATTTTACCAGTTTTAGTCAAATTTTGAAATTTGTTATTGAAAGTAGATAACTTTAAATATATATAAAAATGTCATTTCTTTTCAATTCTAATTATTTTTCATAATTTTTATAATCAATAGTAAATGATTATCAATCTTCAAATTTTGCATAAAATGATATTTAGATAAACGAACTGTGCTCAAAATATTTAATTAATAATATTTTTAGATTACGATAAAATATATAAATTAAGAGCTTTAAAGGATCTATCGATCTTATAACTGTTTGATTTTATTTTTAATATTTACTTCAAAATTATTTTCCTAAAAAATTCAGATCAATTGAATATAAAAGTGAAAAAGCCGCATAAAATGTATTTACAATGCAATGGCTGATTTTGTTTTTAACATTTGGGGAATTGTTATAATAGCTTTAATACGATATGCAAATACGCTGCCTCAAAGAAAATAATTCGCGGGATTTGCGTCTGGACAAACCAACCTACACATATTTTATAAATCTTGTTCAAAAAAACTTATTAAATTAGTAATCCATCGTTACTTTAATTCTTTAGGAAAACTCACTCATAATATAAGAACTACCCCTGCAACAAAAATTAGATTAAAAGTTTAAGTACTTCCTGTAAAAACTGAATTTTTTTTCATCAATTCATGCATGTCGTTAAAGAAGAGCCTTATGTAAAGGACAAAATTTTTTTTTCAGTTTTAAGGAGTTTATATTAATATGAATTTTAAATCTAAAACTAAGAATGAGGAGTATTGCATATATGTTTTAATATTTTTAATGTATTGAAACATTTAAAAAAACAAAAACGATTTGAGAAAAGAAACTTATATTTTATTTAGATAATTTATTTACGCTTCTAGTTAAAAGTTCATTTTTGTACTAAACTGTTTAAAGTTTAAATATGTTTTATTTGTCAAATGACAAGAAGCATTTTTAGATCCTGCTATTTTTTATGATCATATTTTTTATCAAGTATTGACACTAATAGAATTTTCGATTTGTCATGAAAGCACACTTGCATTAAAATATTTTTGCTAGTCTAACAATTGTATATCATGGCAATTTTCATTTAATTTTAGAGAGGAGACAAGTTAATCTCTTTAATTAATTAATTAATAATTTTCTTTCTACCGATATTTACTAGCAAAATATAATAGCGTAACTTAATGGCTCAACTACTTCAGTTCAAATTGAATATAACACTCAATAGTTTGCTACAATTCGATGAACAATTCAAAAAAATTTATTTGAGTTTCATAATTTTAAAAATCTTAAATCATGCAATTACAAAATTATTGATAACATTGCAATAACTAAAAATGCTTCTGTTTCTTCAAACAAAATTTTGGATGACTTTTCACGTAAATTTAATGAAGCTATGAGCCAATTATTTTGGCAAACATTTTCTTTCTACTTCACTTATGCGAAAATTGTCCAACTTTATGGAGTTATAGTTAAACTAAGAACCTTATTGAGTTACAGAAGAACTTGATAATAAAGAACAAAAGGCCAATAAATTATTAAATTCCGATTTTAAAGAAGTTGCTTTTTTTGTCACATTTTTGAAATATACGAGTCCACCAAAGAAAAAAATAACCTCCGAATTTATTACGAAGTCCAAAGTTATTAATACTATCTTCTTTCTAAATGACTCTTAATAATATTTTTCTTACTATTTTCATGCATTAATTTAGTTAAAGAAATGATCATTTCAAGTTTATGCCAATTTAATATTCCAAACTCGATTAAATAACTTGTATGGAAAGAAAAGTTAAATATGGTTCTGTCGCTCTTTTAAACAGGTATATTTTTTCAGTAAACTCGGAAACAGCAGGAGTATATCAAGGAGCAATAATTGACTGGATATGATTCATTATAGCTGTTATATCGCTTAATAAACTCTTTTCCTCTTTCGATGTTTCCCGCCATTTTTTTCTGAATAGTCCTCCGCTTCTCGCGTTTTCAATTAAACTGATAATGCTTTGCATAAATATCCTCCATTCCATTAAATCTTTAAGACAAGAATCATCGCTTAGAGCCACAAGATAAACTCATGGAGAGAAGAAACTCCAAGAAATATGAGTTCAGAAGAAGCGAAGCGTAACAACCGCCATCTTGTTTGGCGCGATAAGCGCCAAAAAGAAGAGCCAAAGAGTATTAATTACTTCTCCTATTAGAGCGGAAGAACACTTAATATAACTCGGACGAATGCGTTCAAAAGATTTCTTCCTTCGAGGAAATGCTATTTCATCGAATTATCTGTTTCCATTCCAAAAATTAATGATTTAATCATTGATCAATATTTTCAAAATTATCTTATTTTACTCACGCTTATTCAAAAACAAATTTGCTTTTAATGTCACTTAAGGCTCGGAACCAAAGCACGGAAGATTAACTTTTTATATATCATTATGTAAGAACACCATGCAAAATCATTTTAACATTACATTTTAGTTTAAAATGTATTTGTTTAAATGCATTTTAATTCAAATGCCAAAGAGAAATAATGACCATATTGAACGTCATGGAATTGGTCTCTAAATGTTAGAGCTCTGAACTGCATGTGTATTTTTAATCAACGACTGACTGTAGTGGGTCAGCTTTGCTTAAGAAGTTAATTTTCAAATAAGTTAAAGAAGTTAAGAAGTTAAAGAAGTTAATTTTCAAATTTAATAATTTAAAATTATTAAAAAAAAATGTCTTAAGGTTTCTAATTTATTTTCCATCCCATGTTTAAGAGATCAGATATAACTTTGATAATTTTAAAGTCGACACAAGATCTTTAAAAAGTTTATCTTTCAAAAAATGATTTGAACTTTTGATTTCATTTTTATGAAAAAGTTACAATGAATAACGAAAATAATCGACGATATTTCTATAACGACGTGTTAACGTTCATAAACTTTTTACCGAGCAGAACTGAAAATTACCAGAAAAATTTAACCTCCAGATTTAAGATCAAAACGAATTGCTCTCTTGTGGGCAAGCAATAAGTATGAAAAATTTTAGCAAAATATTCCAGAACATTTTGCCAAACGGTTTTCTGTGGAAGCTTTCAAAGCAGTTTTAAAAAAAAATATTACGACTAAACACGTAACACAAAAATATTACGCTCAATTAAAGCTATACACAAAGGACTATAATTCGCAAAGAAACATTTTCTGGCTCTTCTGTCAAAACATACACGTACCTCTTTCTTCCGCATAGTTTTAATGCGGTTTTAAAAAATATTCCCCTGTGTAACATTCTTTCCTCCAAGACGTTTTGCTATTCGCGTTGAATGGCTTTTTACTCAAGTCCCCGAGCTTGGTTGTTTTTAGCTTGTTTTGGATTTTGTGATAATATTAGAATGCTCTTCACGAGCGAATTTCCTAAATAGCTTCCTAACGTGAGAGCCATTTTTTTATCGTAGATTTTTCCTTAAAAAGAAATGCGATGTTGCGTTTTGCTTACTTTGTGGAATTAAACGTTTTCCCCGATTCAAACAATTTAAATGCATGGTTATTATAATCAGAGTTCAAAATCTGATTTTAAGGATTAGAAAAATAAATAAGCTACTGGAAAATAAATAAACA